GAGTCATTTATTATGATAATGAAATCACCTTACATAAATTGACAAAATTGTTTTCACTTAATAACTTCTAAACATTATTTTAATAAACTTTAGTTTCTATATATATATATATATATATATATATATATATATATATATATATATATTGTATTGTAACGTCCTCAACATCGAGTTGTGGTCGGTCTTGTAAGGTGTAGGTGTAAACTTTAAAACAAAGACTAACTTATTTCCTTTAAAATAGACTAATGATTATTTTACTATTGTTATTGAAAGGTTGAAATAATAAAACTATGGAAAAAGGATCGTTAATGACCTCTTTTAACCTTGATGACTTTAAAAATTAAATCTTTTGTCTTTGACGTTCATAATAAGTTATTTTAATATTTACATAGATTTGTAAGAATATTCCATTTAATTATTCTTTTCAAGCAATATTATATAGTATAAAACTCGTGTATTTAATAAAATTTACAATTTCTATCACATTCGATATTTCGTAAAAATATTTAATACAAAACTTATATATTTCCGTACAAAAATCTGATTCCAAATAGTTAAATAAGCTCTGGTTAGTCACTTAGGGTCACAAAGACCGGAGGAAAAGGTTTTTTGTGGAGTATTCTCTAAATACCTCATATTGGAACAGATTTATAAAACTTATTTATATATGAATATGCAATATACTGATTGTAACATACATACAACACCAGTTTAATATATACATTTATTTAAATAAACGTATGAAATTCTCAGCAACACAATAAATGTTTCTCTTTAATAACGTGTTAGGGCATTTTGTATGCTCGTGTCGTTATTCTTGCGTATTATACTGTATTAAAAAAAACTCCTATAAATACCTTACATTGTGATGTAATATTTTAAATATTTTCTTTACAATATTGCAAGGAATAAAACTTATTATTTGTTCCTCGTAAGTAATTATAAACATAAAAAGTAGAAAAAGTCAATGCTTCAAAACTTTGTACCAGACTTTTGCGTATTAATTTCTATACATAATTAGGTTTCTTATTATTAAAAAATGTTTAGGTCTTATTAACGTAGTGAAGTTTCTGTTTTAAGGGTGGAGAGATCCTTTTTATTTCCCTAAAAATACTATTCTGTTGGCATCTCTTGATGAATATTTTCCGTGATGAAGCAAAAGTTAAACATTATAATATATAAGGGTATTTAAAGTGACTTAGTATATATTTTATAATCTTTATTAAATCGTAAGCCTTGATTTATCAAACATTTCATATTAACAAAATCATAATATAAGGGGCGCTTGCAAAACTGAAGACAATAACATTCACGTAGCGAGGTTTTCTATGTAAGACAAACATTCGTGTACATGTACAATGTACATGTATCGTTGCATACTTTCATATTGCTTCTGATTATACCAACCATAAATGGTCGTATGAGGAATACGATCTACTTTTTAAATGTTTGAACACAATGTACTATTTGTTATGTATATAATATTATCAATATAAATGTCATGTTCATTTATTATAAAAGGATTCACATTAAATTTGGTCACTAAAAATATGTCGTAAGTTAGTTTATATTTAATTTGAGCATGATGTTGTTGCTTTGTGTTAATATTGTTGAATTAGCTTCAGTTTATCGAGCATCAAATTTTAATTCTTTAATATCCCTTGGATAGTTCAAGTATTGTTGTGTAACCAATACAACACTTTGATATTTTATTTAAGACTCTTATAAACTATAAGAGATGTTTTTAAATGTTTTGTCAGAGAGATCCTGAACAATTCATTTATATTTAACGTTTGCCATTAAACATTCGTCTCTCTTCCTTCCCTTTCAATACCACTTTGGAATCTACGGTTTCTTCTTTAAATTCATTAAATCGTAGTTCCAGTTGTTACAGATATTATATGAGAAGGTTTGAGATACAAAAGCCGATTCGCTTAATTAACTATAAATCAATTCCCTGTCTAAGTTACTTGTGTTTCGAAATGTGATTTTACTTTAATTTAAATCATTTAAAAATGTTTTAAATAAAGACATTCTCATTTACTATGAAATTATTGAAGTTTATACGGCGTCTTTAAAATTCATAACCGAATGAAACTAATGTAGTTCAATGTTTTGAATGTTGTTTTTAGCAAAGAGTTATTTCACCATTATCTGTATTATTATATTTTAAAATATTTTAATATACATTTTAGTAACACCCTCTATTGTTTGCTACAAAACCTCGCTTATAACTGAAAAAATAAATTGCGCTTGAACGTTACTTTTCAGAATTTTCTACGACATAAAAAAATCCATCCATAACAGTTTTTGTATACTTGATGGATTCTATGAAAATATTCTCAATGATAAATCGATGTTACAGAGGTCAGGCGAAGAAAATCTTATATTCTAAGGCTTTGTTTGAAATCTTAGAAGTTTATTAAGTAATATATGTAGATATTTGTATGTTAAGTGTTGAGTAAAACTTTTAGTCTGATAAAACTATAACTTATGAAGAAACATATAAAATAAATTATATTTTGAAATCAACCAACTTATAATACAAATACTAATTGTGAGGTAAAAGTAAACATTTCATATAAGATGAATTGTCCACAGTTTCCACATCGCTCTCAACAAAACAGAAGTTTAGCTAACATTAGGTCCACTGAAAATATTTTATGGATACTGTACATCTATATATATATATATATATATATATATATATATATATATATATATATATATATTTCCATTATTGAGATTTCCATCGATATATTGACTCATCACGATATTTCTGGAACCATAAGGCGTAGCGACTTGAAATTTGTTAGGATTATTCCTTTAGCCGAGTAGAGGTTAGCTTAACCATGGAAAATTCCCGTTTTTAACCTAGCTCCTATCGACTTCAAATTTGGTAGGAATGTACTTTATGATAATGTAGAAATGATCTAAGAGCGGATTTTATGATAACCTACTCCCAATATTGATTGCGAGGGTGGACGATAACTATGAAAATTTTAAATTTCCAAGCTATATCTCTGACAGACTCATAATTTTGTATGAATTTTCTGTTATTTTATAATGTAGCATTAAAAATACAAACAACCCACAATTTTTACTTTTTTATCACCAACCCCTATTTTTTTATATGGCAGAACAACGTTTGCCGGGTCAGCTAGTATATCATAATCAATTACTTTTCTTCCCAAGAGCACTCAACTATGTTTTATGTGTCAAATATTAATATATTTTTTTAAATATCTATATATAAAAATAAATGTTGGTTACGTCTTAATTAAAATCAAGTATTTAGTGGTGAAACACAAACAAAAAAAAAAAACAAACAAGAGACGTAATTTGAAATATGGACTTATTATTTAAAATCGAATACAACCTTATAAACACTGCAAAAAAATTCCTGAAATAGTCAAGAATAATTCATATAAAGAAGACATGTATTTCATAGCACATAAGATCGTAAGTGATAAATCACTAAGAAGATGATCATAAGTTAGAAATCACAAACAGTGATGGCCGTCGATGTAGAATAAGTTATCGATTTGTTGAAATATACCTGCTGTAAACTCATACTGTAAACTCTAAAAAAGCGTCTCAATTAATCAACAGAGTCCAACGTCAATAAAATCCCACTTCATTATTACTGTGATAGTTTGGTAGCGGGGTAGTCACGAGAGAGCGACAGAGCCATTCTTGTTTAAAAAGATGTCAAAACATAGGGATAAGTTTATCAAAATAGTATTTTTGAGATGATATATTAACAACTCTATATTTAATAATCATTCAATCAGTACGTGCAGCTATAAATAAATATCTTCAATGTTTAAGGGACTGTAGTAAAACCAATCGAGACTACATTTAATATTATGATGTATGTATTAAACGAACACAATGAAATATTAATAAATGTTATTTATATGAAAGACAATGTTGTAACAATATTTTATTATAAGCTAAATTCTAAGTAAAATATAATTAGCTTAGGAAAAATAAATTTTGTTTTAAATCCACTTTCATCCGAAATCATAAATGAAAAGCCAATTTATGTTGAACATTTAATTTATTTTAGAGTAAGAATAAAATCTTTTATAGGTCTTTTTCGTGCTTCCAATCCATTAAGTCTCAAGTAGTTTCAAAGGTATTACAGAATTCGGAGTAATGTCCAGGCGAAGGCAAAGAACTTTAACTTGGTTTCAGAAATCACTCAATTTTTTTCCACTGCCTGTGGTTTAACTTTACTTTAGTACATTTTGGTTCGATCAATTGAGATAGTTAAGTCTTGAACATGCAACTAGCACAGATGCTTAGAACGCAAAGATACGTTCATAGAAAGCAGATTAATGTTTAGTTTAAAAATAAACGGCCTTTATATTCTATCGAATAGCGCAAGCGCTTGTTATTATGCCTTATTATTATATTTAGTTTCCTTCTTGATTACTTTAAGTAAAAAATAAAAACACAGGGTAAATTATCGAAATATATTTTTTCATAATTATTATTAAAAGTAACGTATTAGGTTTTTTTATAAATCTGTTGAAAAGGTAAACAAAATATAGAATAAAATTGCTTCTAATAAATTGTTCATAAAGTATTGATTAAAATATAGCTTTGTTTTATTTATAAAAGGTACTAAAAACGATTATTAAGCACGTTTTATTTGAGTAACTTTAATTTCTTCATATGATTCATAGTAAGCATTCTATTAAAAGATCAAATGTGTTCATATTAATTTTATCTTCACTTGGTATTCAGAGAAAACATGTTGGCTAACGTCAAATTACTTTCAGTAAACTCATGGGGTTATATGTAAACTGAAATAAAATTATTGGCACTTTGTTTGAGCGAAATATTATTATTGAAGATTGTTTGTGTTCTAATATTTCCTATTTTATATAACAATAAAGTTTTTCATAACAAGCATAATCTACTTCGGTGAAATTTTAATTCCAAATTGTAAATTAAATGGAGTAGTAAATAATAGTAGTGGCTAATGTAATTCAGGTTTGAGTAGTCCTGTTTTCCTCACCAGCCTCCTCGTAACCTTTGACAAGATTCTCTAAAATGAACCGTATTGTCAACTTGTATATATTTTCAATATTCGGGGTGTATCTCTCTCCCAGGGTGGTCTTGGCTGCTTCAAGGAAAGGTTGCTCGATTTTCTGCAAATATAATGAATATTTTTAATCTCACCTCTTACGCTTATAAAAGACTATGAATAGAATATCAATATGTATGTGTTTTCTAAACTTTCTAATGTTAAAGTATATTCAAAGTTTTCATTGTTAGTGAGAATGTGAAAATGTTAAACTGGCCATAAAGTTTTCTGCTTTAAACCCGGGCACCTGTCGATGTGTGCCACCCACGTGTCTGACGTAAGTGAAGAATGAGTCCATATCAGCCAGCCCTTTGATGCCCTCGTCTAGTGTATGCATCACCTGTGTAGCATGCTCAGCCAATTCAGCAGAACTGACTATAGCTTCTTTGGTTCGCAGCTCTCGAAACTTTTCAAATAGATGTAGAAGCTCTTCATTCTCTTCGAACAATCTGGATAAATAAACAATAATATTGAGTTATTTCAGAAACATCTCCATTCCACATATTTATATAAAGATCAGTGAATGTTAACATTTATTGTAATAATAACGAACAGTTTTTGAAAAGGCCAGTATTCAATTATTTTAATGAAATAAAATGTACAAAAGCCATTTATTCAATGTTGGTATGATTGTGACGTTCAATAGAGTAGCTTGGGAACATTGGGAAAACTTTAGTTCATTTCATAGGATCAAAACGTTTTTGATACATAAATATTTTAACAGTTTAAAAGCAGCAGTGAAATAACAACAAAATTTCTTTTTGCCATTATCACCATATACTCTGTGAAGAATTTATGCTAGTTGTGAACTACTAATATTTTTAATGATATTTATAACTGTGCAATTGCAAATTATGTATGTAATATGAGAAAGTAATAACTATAGTTTTCACATACATATGCCTTAATATGTATTTTAAGGCTTAGGGTAAAACTTGTTTAGAGGACATTGTGAGATTAGAAACAGTAACAGCTTCACAATTTGATTAAAATTACTTTTAGTCCCTCAATTATGACTTTGACGCCAAATTGTAAGGAATGATAAGGCCCTAGAGTTTCATAATAATAACAATTCAGACAATAATTCTTTAATATCGCCCTTCTTTTATTGTACTTAAAAATATATTAAAAAAAAATTAATGGAATTCACTCGACAACTTCGTTGAAAATGATTCAAATATATGTATAATTAGTTACGTAGTTCTATTTTCCTCCTTATTGTTTGATTTCTATGAAGTTTGGAATTAGGTGGCTTCCGGCTGACAGAGTGGTAAGCGCTACTGATTTTTAAGTATTGGTCAATGATAAGAGTGATTTTAGCGGTTTATATGGATTTCTAACACGTGCGTGATATAGTAGAGAATATTAGATGATTTCAAACCTTTATCTAGCATAAAACACGGTTTTATATAGTAACGACTTAATGAATGGCTAAATATAAAAGAAATTATTAGAAAAAAATAAAAATATAATATATCCATAAGAAACTACGATACAGAAATTTTCCAAAAAATTGATCAATACATTATTATTTTATGCAATCGAATATATATAACATGTACGTGAAAATTGATGAGAACTAAAATTACTATTAACAGCATTTGAATAACATATAAAAGTTTTAATAAACATTAGCTGGCTCAGGTGTCCGTATGTACGTCAGTAAATTTATTTTATTAATACAATAAATCATTCAACAGTCGCACCACATTTGAAACTATATTGTACCCGGGGGATGCGGACCTGGCCTCTAATGATGTACATTTGTTATAACGTAATTTAAATATTATCATTATTTTTAACGAGCTCGTTTTTAGATTATTAATTTTATTCTACTTTGTTACACAATGGATTTAATTTGATAGTGAAACAGAATGTTGTTCTAACTGTTGAAATAGAGGATGGAAGGCCATTGTTAATACGTAAAAGGTTTTTTTTGACTTACAATTTCAGTTTCTCGGGATACGATTTGATATTTGGATAGTTAATCTAAACTCAATAAGAGTAAATATTTTGTATAATTCTTACCTAGCAATTGAGGTTTAGTTTATAATAATATATAATTTTAATAATGATATATTATAATTTAAACATCAGATTATAATAATAATAATGATATTCATCAGATATTAGAATTCGTGAACAATGAAAACATTGGCTTTATTAGCTTTTGGCTAGATAAATGTATAAGCACCAACTATTTTAACTTTTTATTTACCTGCATATGTACATATATATGAAGAGTCGAACTATAGTTTGATCGTTCCAGTTATAAAAAATATATAAAGGTAGAATTCTCTAGTTTCGAGTTCCTTTAATATTTTATTTACAAAATGTATTATATAGTTATTAAATGTCCTTTTTATAAAAAACTGTGAATTTATGAATTAAGGTTTCTTAAAATACTAAGAGTTTCGCCTAAAGGTCCCATTACATACATTTATTCATCCAATTATAAACTGATGAGTGGATCGAAAATTATCTTAAATTCAGAAAATAGTAACTGCTAAATATGAGTTACATCTACCTATTATTACAATGACACTACGTAATTCATAGCAAATATCAATTTTATTGCCGATACATTATTCAAAATAATTACTGAAAATTTTGTTTTAATGATTGTATTGTTGTTACGTTTAGACATCATAAGGTCTCAAATATTTTAAAAGTATGTCGCTAGAGCGAGAAGGACAACACGTCCAATAAAAGATTAACCTTTTCTCACTTTTTGAACTACTTGAACTAACAGGAAACGAGTAAAGCACGCTATAAAAAAGCATGTGTATTTGGAACATTTGCTTTGAGCATGCTTATTTAGGATTCTTTCTCATTCTATTCGGCATTCTTAAAACAATAATGCTTATTGTCAGAAAATGCTTGTAAACTGCTCCTAGGCATGCTTGAGGGTACTTAATAGCACAGTTTTTATTATGCCTAGGTATTTAAAGCATGTGTAACAATAGCCTCACTATAACAAACAAGAATATACATAAAATAAATAGGTTCGGACCGTTTGCGACCTATTGATGACACTAAAATTAAATTGAAAATTTGCGCATTAGCTACACGTGTAACGGGATTGAAGAGTTGTTTTATGAAGTATTGTTCAAATTTAATGCATATACCTCTCTTCTTTAGTCTAGAACAATAAGAATTAAATACTAAAATCTTTTGTACATCAAACTATTACTTCAAAGAATGCTTAAAAGAAAATGTTATTATATAAATAATAATAATTTATAATTATGTAAAGGAGGTCATTTCTTAATTACTAAGGTTTCATTTTTAATTTTGTCTTAATTTAAAAAGTTTGAATAGCAAGCTTATTACGAAAATATATGTTTCCATGTATACAATTAGATATTAAAGAATAAATATGATATCTAAAATTTTCGTGTGTATTTGCAATTAATTAAATTAAGATTTTCGGATATTACTAAGGATGAATGAAAAATATATTATATCGCCTGCCCGTGGTTACGATTACTACAAAGAAACCGAAACGTCTGGATTATTTAATTGTAAAATCAAAAATAACGCGTAGGTATAAATCCTTCGTTCTATTTGGAAATTAATTGATATTTTGCAATATGTACGAATCGTCAATAGTTTAAAATAAATTTTATTTTTATTAAACACATGCAATGTTTTCAATTTATAGACAATTATACGCATGTTTTCTAAGTTTGGTATAATAATATCTATAGTCTTCTATAAAAATCGTATAGCATAGTCTAGACTAGCCAAGTTTGACCCAGTTTACGTGTCAAATATTTATTTGACAGCTTTTTCTAGATCTTTTAAATCGTTATTCCAGCTGCTACTAATGGTAGGTAATAAAAAATGTGAAACAAAAAGGAATAGGCCTTACGCCATTTTTAAAGTATTTGGATCTTACTAACACTTTGAGTAACTTTTTTCATTTACATTCCGGACCTCTGTGCTATATATCCTGATTAGTTTCATAAAAATTTAGTTACGTTGACTTATTTATTTAATTATATATATTTTTGTGACTAATTCATTATTCAAATGAGATTACTACATCTAATAAGTAAGGCCAATGTAAACTTGCAGTGATTTGCTAACATTGCGCTCAATTAACCCCAAAAAACTATGTTAATAACTCCTTTTTAAAAGTCGTTTTAATAGATACATGAACATATTATATAATATAAAATTGTAAATAGTACTTTTAACAAATTTAACTCATTTTATAAATTAAAAAATTGAAACATTTTAAGTGTAGTAAGATTTAAAATGTATTATGGAATAAAATTATTGTGATTATCAGAAAAAAGAAAAATATCTACGATTTAATTTATGGCCACAATTAACTATAGAAGCCGAAGTTAACAAGAGTTACGATGTAAAATATTAAAGACATGATACTGTATGAATTATTAAAATAATAGTTAAAAAAAAAATGTTTTGTTATAATAAAACCGTGATCAAAAAACAATAGTCAGTGTTTTCATATTATTTTTTAAAAGTCAATCTAGAGATGAACGCGCTATGATTTTATGAAATTCTGCTAAAAGAAGTCAACGTGACTTGCTTTGTTATTCTGAACTTTATTAAGATGACGAAAAATACTAAATTAATTTTCATTTTTAAACATTGATCATTGCTTTAGTTTCTTTGTACTCGCTCTTAATAACACTCATAACAATTAAAAGTATATAAGTAGTAGTACTTTTACTTCGCATTATATTTTCATTTATAGATATACATTATACATATACTCGTATGTATATGTACATATATTTACCTTCATGTCTATTTTTATAATGTAATACAAAGTTCTATTTACTATTTCAAATTAACGTCTGTTCACTAAACGCGTATAAAATTATATACTGTACGTATATAAAAATGCAATTTCGTAAATTATTGTCCTCGATGCTGTTTGCTTCAGCTAATCTTTGAAACGACGAAATATATATTGATGAAAATGTTACTCCCGGGTATATCACATAGTCACATAAAAACTAACTTGTATCAGTAGTAAGTAGTTACTTTTTAACTAAATTCAAATATACATATATCAGTTTTAAGCCAGCATAATTTTTGTTTCACTTTATCTAAACAACAACGGCTTTTTATCTCTTTTATAGATACTATTAAACTTAATTATTGAGGCATTTGTGAATAAAACAGGAGACAAGCACACCTCAAATAACTAACGCACTTCTTTTAGGTTCTTATAAAATTTTTGTTGTTATCTCTCTTATAAAAGTTTAGTTTCTCAAGAAAATCAATTCTTCCATTGAAGTAATGATAAAAATGTCATGTACATGTATCTGTAAATCGTTATATTAATATATTTGTTATAAAAACATCCTCCATATTTACGATAAGATAGTGTTACGATGTGTTTTATAGTTACTAATATGTTATAGCGTCGTACCAGTTCTAGACGAACTTCACAAAGGCGCCTCAGTGTCTGTGACAACAATTATCAAGACATTTCATTATTCTGTGTACATTAATATAATACATGAAACATATAAAATAAAGAAGTTCAGTTTAGCCGGTTTTTATCTATACATTTATAAAGAAGCTTATTCATCTTTATGTTTGTAATTATAAAGTAGATAAATCCATTTTTTTCATCCTTCATAATATTCTTTACTAGCAGACGCCAGGTAGTACCTATCTGCTGTCAACTCTTCATCAATAGCCACGTCACTCAACACCTTCACTAATGATAAATCATGTTCTTAATATAGACATATACTTGATGACATTATAATTTCATATTTGAGTCTGTGTCTGGGTCAGCTTTATAAGTAGACAGTTTACTTTGCTTTGTTTGGAGTAACACAATCCTGCTTTGATATTTTCTACTATTTGTACTAAAATATTTATATTATTTATAAAATCCAAGTACTTCTTGCGGCTCCAATATAAAGTTGAACATTATAGTACAGACATTTTAGACACGTTTTAAAGGCAGCGTTTATCAATGTATCTCACCATTAAAAGAAACTTTCATCCGTAGTTTTATTTTCGTTGTGTATTTTTGAACTTTGACTTGAAGGATCGTATAACAATTCATCCCTTTAGTATTTTTGTTATTGTATACGTTATTATATAGATTCAGTTGCATACAATCAGTGAAAGATTCTTAGGAAGATTTTGTAGGACTTTTTCTCTAGTTGATTTGAGAATTTCCAAATTTAATTACATTAAATAGTTTAGCGAAGATATAATAGTTTGTTTTATATATATAACGGACATTTGATAAGGAACTCACTGATTCAAATAAAATTCAACGAAATACCATTGGCGGTAAATGATGTGGTGAAAGAATTGATTTCGTTATTATGAAATATATATATATATATATTAGGGTGTCCCATAAGTTTTTTCCGCGCTACGTTATGAATGAGTCTGACTGGCTATGCTTATATAAACATGCAGGCTTATCTCTTAACCGTTTATGGCATCGGTTTCAGTCGTCCCAGAGCTCTTTCAAAGTACGTTTCGTTGGTGACAAAGCCTCTTTAAAAAAAAAATCTGCCCCGTTCAGTATGGAGAACCAAAAGAAGCATTTACGGGATGTGATGCTTCATTGCTTTAAAAAAGGCAATAGTGCAAAGAACACTGCAGATGAGATTTGCACCGTTTACGGGAGTGTAGTACCACTAGGACCGTCCGCAATTGGTTTAAGAAATTTAGAGCCGGGAAATTTGATTTGCAAGATGAAGACCGCAGCGGCCGCCCAGTAACGACGGATGCGGACCTTATCAAGACTGTGCTCTCTGAAAATCCGCGAGATAGAGGATAAAACTAACATTCCTAAGACAACGATACATAAGCATTTGATCAAGATGGGATATGCAAATCGGTATTAAGTTTGGGTTTCACACCTATTGACGGAGACCGGCCTTATGAACAGCGCCTCTACGTGCGATTTGCTTCTTCGTCGTGTCGTCGTGATGGTCGTGAGACAAAAATTATTACAGTTCGATTGGGACGTTCTACCTCATCCTCCGTACTCCCCAGACCTTGCTCCTTCCGATTATTACTTGTTCCTCTCTTTAAAAAAATGTCTCCGTATTAAATCTTTCAAATCCATAAGCGAAATAAAAACGCACACAGACGAATATTTTGCAAGTAAGCCTTAACAATTTTGGAAAGAGGGCATAATGAGGCTTCCTGAGAGATGAAAGAAGGTTATAGAACAGAACGGTTCATATATAACACAATAAATCAACCTCAAACAACAAATATCGTGTATTCATTTCGCATCAAAAAAAGGGAAGAAACTTATGGGACAACCTATATATATAAAATTAAAAACTAATACATCATATATATTATAAAAGACAACTATATTGGTTACTGCCAAACATCACAATACACCAAAATGTTACAACAATATTAATAAACACAACTTGTTAAAGGTTCAATCTGTTTTTAATATAAAATTTTAGTTTAATTAATAAGTTTTACGATTTATGAGACATAACTTTCTTAAAACAGTCACATGTTACGAATCTTGATTAGATTTTGCTTTAACATGTTTCTATTCTACGTTTTATCCCAACCTTTTAACAATTTTTCTGTAACCCTAATCACGGCTAGGCGATGGAAGTGCCTGTCAATTATTCTAGTTTTTTGTAACTGACAATCTGACTGACACTCTCAAGTCGTCAAACACGATTGAAACATTGGACAACATAGGTAGTTTGATGAAGTAGGAATAGCTGCATTTGAAAAAAAAAACATTACTGGTTTTAAATGAATACATATCAGTTTGAACAATTTATTTGTAAATAAGTAATTAAAAGTGCACGTTTGATTAGAATGTCACAATTTCAATATGCGGATAAAGAAGCTTTTTTTGTATAAATATATTCTTCATACACATTTGAATATATTGTATGTTTATACGAAATAAGTATGACATACGGTTCAAGTTGTTCTTATTCCTTAAACTAAACGTTCTGTTATACATCAAGGAAACGGTAGAGTAATGTGAGTTCCAATCGATATTCAACGTTGAATGCATCGCGAGCAGCTTAGTGATACAGACATATGTTATGAACACTGTGTGGACTGTTATACACAAAGGAAATGATTGGATTATTTGCTTAAATATACGGTATTGAACATCAGTTTCAATGTAATTTTTTTTTTTTTTTTTATGTCAAAGGTGGCAAACGAGCAGACGGCCTACTTGGTGTAAGGTAGTACCGCCGCCCATGTACATCCGCAACATGTTTGTTGCGAATGCGTTGCCAACCTTGTTTTTTTAGGAATAGGGAGGGGTGGGAATAAGGAAATGATAGGAACGGGTGGGAAATAGGAAAAGAGCAACCGGCTCTCACTCATCGGACGAAACGCAGCCACTAAAGGCTACTTCACGCCGATCTTCTGTGAGAGGGTGGTACTTCCCCGGTCGAGCCAGCCCATGTTCGAGCTGTGGTAACTTACCACAGCTAGGCTCTACCACCCTTTAGATTATTTACAAACAACAAGAATATCAATAGAGGTGGTAGAGCCTAGTTGTGGTCAAGTTACTACAGCTCGAACATGGGCTGGCTCGACCGGGGAAGTACCACCCTCGCACAGAAAATCGGCGTGAAGTAGTCTTTAATGGCTGCGTTTCGTCCGATGAGTGAGAGAGCCGGTTGCCCTTTCCTTTTTCCCACCCTTTCCTTTCCCTCCCTTTCCCACCTTTTACTCCCCATTTTCAACAAACAAGGGCGGCAACACATCTGCATATCCACGTTGCAGATGTCAATGGGCGACGGTAACTACCTACCATCAAGTAGGTCGTCTGCTCGGTTGCCCCCTTTTTCCTTAATAAAAAAATACACTATTTTAAAATTTATAATATACTTGTTAATAAGACTTGTTAAATTTTATATAAATAATGTGATTACTAAGGATTTTTCTAAAGATACTGGGGAGGATAATTATAAAATACATTAAGAAATTAATTGTATTAAAAACTATGTTTAATTTTAATTAAACTTTAACTAAAACTGTTATCTCTGTCTTTAAACTCATTAATTAATGACAAAGTCATTTTGAAAGGGGAATAAATCCCACGTGTTTTCAATCACGAAAGCTCTCATTAGTGCAAGAAATAATATGAGTTATAAATGGAACAATAATATTTAGTATCTGAGTAGAATTGGTTTGGCAGAAATTAATCAATGGTTACTAATGAATGGTGAGTGTTATATGATAAACGTGTATTATGTTTATATTTAAAGTGTTTATTACGATTATAAGTACATACATATGTCAAATATGTTACCATCACAACAATTTTTATGAAATCCATTTAAAATATAAGTATTTGTAATTATTTCTATTAGCTTGACGGTTTTCCAAGGCTTACTGATTCAAGGATATCCGCTGTCATTTAGCATTGATCTTTAGTTACTGAAGGATATTCTCTTTTTATCTGAAACCTTTTCTTTATTTGGCAACCTTAGTATCATCCCACTAAAATATTTTATGAATATATTTTGAATGCTGTCTAAACTATGTTGTACTTAAGTAAAGAGCCTTCCTTTGTCAGTGTTTTTATTATTCATTGTTGTTGTTTCATTTTAAAATAAAATGTATTTAAACAAAAATTACTTACATTATTCTGAGATTTAAATATAACAATATTCTAGAAAATATATTTAAATTTGGATTTTCTTCTCGGTATACTAAAGTTAATAAATTCGTTGAACCTCAAAGAGCTAAAGCCTTCCTGAAGTTAAATATATAATGTAACATAAACAAATAATATAAACATTATAATACAAATGTTATAATAATGTGATTTATACTTGGAGCGAAATGGAATTTGAGTTTATAAATGATTTATCTAAAATATACTACGACGACAGTTGAGAAAATTTAGAAAACATGTTATTCCATACATTGTTTTAGAAAAAATCAAACTCGAAAATGTTATATAATTAAATAAATATTCATTTAAAATGAAAGAAACTGATTTGATATGTTGCTAGATGTTCAAACGTAACAAATTTTGTTTGTATTGAGAGTGCAGTACGTGCATGACTTGTAAATAGATTTTAACTTTGTAAGAAACACAAACTGTATTAGTGACGGATTTTTTGCTTTAGTACTTTTTTTTAGTACTTTTGTCTTTAGTATTTTAATGTAGTACAATTAGTACTTTAATGAATGTTTGTAACAGTACAGATTCTGTGTCTTTTTTATGTTCTTATACCATATATTAATTATTATTATAATTGCTATATTTTACAAAAATAGTGCAAACTTCTTCACATCTTGAAGGGGTATCAATGATCACCATCACGTAACATTCTGTGACAAGGGGAAGGGAAATAATGCTATATGTGCCCACAGGTATGTGTCATCACATATTAATATTTAAAATACTGATTGAAAAACTTGTATGTGAATAAAGAGTTGCATGTGAAAAAATTAAACAATGACTCTGAGTTGGTTTCTCGCATGTGTTGTTTGAGAAACCTTCGATAAATGACACCACAAGCGTCGACACAAAGTTTAAAAATGTGTAAAGTTATATTAAGGTTTATAAAAATGTGACAAACTGTGAAAAGGAAGGGGCGAGAGTTACAAAGTTTGAAATTCCAGTGACGTAATTTAGTGATGGCCCTCCATTAACAGAAAGTCATATGTAAATATATATTCATACATTTAACACTATGATTCTAATATATACTATAAATTCAAGTCTATGCAATGTATTATTTTAAAAGAAAAAAAATATATATGTAGATATTTTTATTTTCCCGTTTTAGTAACCCGACAGGAACTTTTTTGATATTTATTGAAATTTATTGTATTTAAATTATTGTAAGTATTCCATACTGTTCTTGTCCGCCCTTTCTTTAGAAAATAAAACTGCGATAATTTGAAATAAGGTTTTTAATTGTGGTCATATTGTAGAACCATAGCATATTATATCATGTATATTTAGGAATAAACTGGAAGAAATAAATAAATAATATATTAGTTACTGGTCCCTTTAGGATGAGTTATATTCACATATAGTCTGTACTTCCCCCGTCTTGAAAATAACATACTTCAAGGGGGGACTAGCATTAACTCAAGGACTGTGGTCATCAACAATAAATATATTGTTTATGAAAATTGAAATAAATTATAAAAAACTTTTGAATATTATGGTCTAAATATAAAAATGACATTAGCACTGATAAAGAAAGCGTTACTTTATTTATATAAAAATATTTAATAATATATTTAATTAAGTAATATTTCCTATATTATTGTGACTTTGTAATTTTATATAAATAGATTTTGAAGTGTTAGATCCAAAAAATTACTGTCGTAGGGTCCTTGTCCCTTCCTAAAGCTATAAACATTGTAATTTATCACAGCTCTGCCTTATTTTAACGTATAACTCTAAACTTTGCAGGTTTTTGGGTGTAGTCTTAAATATACATATATTTTCGGACAAACTACTGGGACTTCTTGGTAACTCCATTATGAAAATCTGCACTTAACATTATTTTATATTCATAGAAAAGAGATCAGAAAGGACTTTTTGTAAATGATGTTCGATACAATTTCACTATTAATTTATTAAATTTACATAAAAATAGAAAATTATTAAAATTATTGACTTTCAACTACCTCGATTTAAACTAATCGTGATATCAAATGTGAATATAACACACGAAAGATTTAAAGATATTCAGAAAATATACCATCGATTAATATATCACACCAACTCGCGTAACGAACACAGAGGCAGTCGTTACCTCCTCTGACAACTACTTATGGTGGTTCACCCCTTTATGAGGCTCTTACAGTTATATAAGCTGCGATAATTAAAGTTAAGTCTTTGTGTAAACTACATATCTAGTACATATACTTAAGTTTTTTCAAATAAATTGTAGTATTTATAATAAGGAGGATAGGTTGGTTCGTTTACAGAAGTATGGCATAGGGTATGTAGAAATTATGTATGTATTTAAAATACCGATTTTTTTTTACCACCGGGTAATCATAGCTCACATCTAATTTTTTTCATAAATCGTTAATAAGATCATCACTAATGAATAAGATAATAAAAAATATCGACTTGTAGTGAGAACAGAATGGTTATATATTATTTCTAATCTGATATCGATAAAATAAAAAGTTTAATAAGAACTTTTAAATTATAAGTTTATTTACATTACTTCTTAAAATATACTCCAAACATTACATACACACTTTATACATTTCATCTGAGCGCTACTCTGATGTTCACGCGGGTGTAGTAGCTGGCAAAAACTAGTACATTTACAAAACTTATTTTGGTTGTCTCCTGATTTTAAAATAATTATGTATGATTTCATACAAGATGATACTAAAATATATTAACGTCAAAATTTTGTTTAGAGACCTATTATTTTAAGTTATTAAAATAAGTATTCAATAATAATAATTAATCTTTGATTCAGTTTGTTATTGATAGGTCCATAAATCTGAAGGTTTTATGTCGGGTTATATTACATAATATTTAAACTAAGTGTCCCTCGCTTACCATCACAGCTGCAGCATGTGACTCTGACCAAGTTTGAATGGATTTGTCATTCATGATCTCATGCCTATGAAAGGAATAGGGTGATTAAAATAGAATCTGTTCTGTATACTATATTATTTATTTACTTTTTATACATACTTATTATACTTTTATTCGTTCTGCTGTAATGATTTTATTGTCTTGTCGTCTTTAAACCTGTTCAAAACATGTTATATAAAGAAGGATATTTTCGGTCTTTTTCGTTAAACATTTTTATGTTCTTAATCGTTTCTTCACAGTTTCAGAGAGCTCATTTAATCAATAACGACACACGCGATACACTAATAATATACAGTACGTTAATTAGAACAAGTAAGACTAAGATTTTTTTTAATATTTTAAATTACAAAATCAGTATTATTTGAAGTTACAAATTATTAAAGATTACTGAATTATAGCAAACAATAGTAATTCGGTGTAATATATGCGTATGTGCACATGTGCGTTTGTTTGCGAGTGGCAGTATTTATGTGGGTATCGTAGGTCTCAATCGGATGAAAGTTTTTTTGTTTCTACTGGAAAGTGTCTGTTGCTGTGCCTAAGTTCGGTTCTGTAGTGTAAAAGTATTAGATAAATATAGATAAGTATTAAATATTTTTGATATGCAATAAAGCTATCCTTCAACACTTATTAGAAACCTTTGATAATTTTCCCTTATACAATTTACATTATTGTGTGTATATTTTACATATATTATTTTTTTTGTTTAAAAACGTTACATAGTCATATATATCGGCGATGCCAGCTTTCTTATTAAACCTCATTAGTATTTATGATTATTGTTAAAAGTAAAACCAAATCAAAGGTTGTTTTAAAGGAGAATAGAACTATGTTTAAATCTTGATATAAATATGACGTCTGGACGCACGACAGTATATAGTATATACAATAATATATATAGTAAATATATATAGTATATACAATATTTAAAACAAAAGCTTCTGTATATTATATATGATCATAGTTGTACCATGATGTTGAAAACAAAGTCTATATAATATTACGCTTTCTTTGACAGTTATAAATAGTCTAACCGTTAGCCTCTTAACAAATAAACACAACCGTAAATAGAGTATTAGTGACGCACAGTGAAGCCGTGATGTTAATTGTGTCTCTGATATGTGATACAAAGTGTAATTT